GTTGGAAACTGGGGGGCCTGCCCCTTAGCTCAGTTCTTTAAGTGGCTGCTTGATCCAAGCAGTCAGGCTCAGGTTGCTGTGGTTCCATCCCCACAACTCAAGCAGGCCAAACCTGCCCTGAAGGCATTCGGAACAAAAAGAAAAAAAAAAAAAAAAAGAGTTGGCAACAACGCAAATGGAATGCCCATTGCAGTGTTTGAAACATGGAAGAGGCAAAATCAATGGAAGCTGCTATTCATTTCTTCCCAGTATGAGAATCCCATCTGTGGCCTCTTTGGTGGAAGGGAGCCAGCACCTGCTTGCACAGCCCCAGGGATGGGGAATTTGTCTCCTCCAGGGGCGGCTCTGCATGGAAAGCAACCTTCCTGAGTCTCAGCTGAGACTTGTCCCAATTCCGTCTTTGGGGCCACAGTGCATGCTGCTCGGCAGCATTTCCCTCAAAGAAATTTCAAGAGCTCTCACTGGTGGGTAGCACAGTGCTTGCTGCATTGCAGAAGCAAGGCTCTGGAAGTCCCCAGCCTTGTTCAAAGAGGTACATTTTAAATCAGGCTTTCGCAAGTCACAGAAAAACCCTTTCCCTGTTCCATGGAGTTTGGAACATACGTATTATATCCTCCTGCATCTGCTTTTTTCTCCATGATGAACTCTTCCAATATCTACCATCCATCTTTATAATTTTTTTTTTTTTTTTTAGACATGTCTCACTGCATTGTCCAGGCTGGTCTTGACCTCTCTATGTAATCCAGGTTGGCCTCAAAGTGGCAGCAATCCTCCTGCCTCAGTCTCTAGAGTGTTGGGATTATAGGCATGAACCACCATGCCTGGCTTATTTATGTTTTAAAAAGAGGCTTACTGGGAAGAATTTTTAAAGTACACACTCAAAAAAATAGACTACAGATCCTGAAGAGAGAGGCACACAGTGATTTCTCAAACTGGGAATGTTTATGTTTCTCTTTGAGAGGGTGGAAACCTATGAAATTAGTGAATCTATGGGAAGTTCTGTTTTGGGTCTTGGTTTTTGGAAAAAGGATAGCTGAGCCATGGAAAGATAATGGCTCATTCATAGGAAAAAGCCTATTTTACAGTGGAAAAGAGGTGGTCTATTCACAGATGAAAGAGGGCCACTGGCATATAGAAAGAGAAGGGCTATATCTACTTGCAGGTAAAAGGAAATTGCCCAACCTTATTGTATCTTGGGAGAACATTAAAAATAAATTAAGCTGGGTTGGTGTCCTGAAGTTGCAGTTTTCATTTTTATATTTTTGAGAGAGGGTCTTGCTATGCAGTCTAGACTAGCCTTGTGTTCACTTTTGTAGCCCATAGGCTGATCTCGAACTCATAGTGATCCTCCTGTCTTAACCTTCCAAGTACTGGGATTACAGGCTTGTGCCACTATGCCCATTTCCGGGGCTGGCTAGGCACTCCTGGGGTTCCAAGGCCAGCACAGCAGGCAGGGCTGGGGATTGAACTACGATCCTTGTGCTTGTCAAGCAGGCGCTTATGCCACTCAGCTATATACCTAGCCTGCAGTTTTTATTTTTAATAATTATGATTTTGTCCTTTTTCTACCTATGTTTATTTCTTCTATCCCACATTTTCACCCCACCCCATTCCACTCCTCCAGACTTCAATCACATAATCTTTAGGGTTCAAAAGGGCTGGAAGTCTTTTTATAACTGTTTATGGCTGAGAAGGGGTATTGATCCTGCCTAGTCAGGGGTCAAAAGTCTTACTTTGACTGATCTAAAGGAGACAAAGGAAGATGGATTTTGTTGTTTGATGAACCATCATTTTTTCCCTAATGCTTTTAAATATTCTTGATGGAAGACCATTCTTCTGTTCCTCATGGAAGAACTGGGATTTGTCTGTGCTCAAGCTCATTACTTTAGGGTAAGTCACTTATCTTCATTGAGTCTTCAGTTCATCTGTAAAAATGTAAAAAATAATACCCATACTGTTATCTCAGAAAGTGATATGAAAATTTACCATTTGGAAAAGGTACTTGGTAATAATAAAATTTAAACTTTACTCCTCTTTTTTCAGAGCTGGGGATAGAATGCAGGCCTTTGCACATGTTAGGCAAGTGCTCTACCACTGAGTTATGTTCCCAGTCTCCCCTAAATGTCTTTCCTTTCCTTTCTTTTCTTTTTTTCTTCCTTCCCTCTTTTCTTTTCATTCCTGGAGATTGAAACAGGGCCTTCACACTGAGCTATATCCCAATATTTTTTGAAAATTTTGAGTCAAGTCTTTGCCAAGGTACTAATTACTCAGACTAGGCTTGAATTTGGCAGTCCTCCTGCCTCAGCCTCTCAAAGTGCTAGGATTATAGGCATGTACCACACATGTAGATCCAAAATCACATTTTTGAAAGCAGTCAGCTGATAAACCCATCTGGTATTGTCCTTAGCTCTTTATAAAACCTCCAAAGGAAATCATTTCATGAATTGTTACTCTTGACTTCGGAATAATGGGAAATCAGCCAGAAGATGCCCTCCTAAATTAACAAAACAACCTGGATATAGGGGTCCATGCTTAGAATCCCAACACTTGCGAGGTTTAGGCAGGATTGCTGTGAGTTTAAAGACAGCCTGTACTTCACAGTGAGCTTAAGTCCAGCCTGCACTATGTAACAAGTCATTGTCTCAAAAACCAAACCATAAACAACACTCCCCCCTCCCAATCAATCTATCAATCAAATAAATGAAACCCCTGGATCTGACTTCATGTATGAAGAGCCTATTAACTTCCAGGCTCATTCACTTAATTTATTCTTTAGTTGAGCCCCTGGTCCCAGGGAAGGTCCAGCAGATCGGTGGCCCTGCTGGATCTTAATTCTCCTGACAACAAGCAGCTTTATATCCCCAGTACTTACTTCCCAGCACGTCTTGTGTCCTGTCTGCAGGACACTCCATCTGGGCAAGGGCTGTTATCCAGCTGTACTAGTCCAGTTTCATCTGTAGGATAGTTGATCTGGAACTTGGGCTTGGTGAAGCCTAGGCTGATTCTTGCTCATCCCTATACATAGCCCCAGTGCTTGGCACAAACCAGAACCTCAGTTAAGTATTCAGTGAATGATGGAGCAATGACAATTTATTGAGCACACACTATGTGCCAAATCCTACAATAGAATAAATCTTAATTGGTATTACAAGCTTCTTAGGATGACATATATCTGGAGACAGGATGTTGATACATAGTTCAAGCTGGCCCTGAGCTCACTATGCAGCCCAGGCTGGCCTCAAATGTGCAGGAACTCTCAGTAATTCTTCCTCAGAATGCTAAGATTACAGGAGTGTGCCATCATACCTGAATATGCCTCCATTTTACAAATGAGGAAACAAAGGTTGAAACCAGTGAAAACTGCAGTCCAGCCTTGCTAACTCTGGCCTAGGCTCTAGCTACTGCCTCTCAGTGGTCAGGGTTCTGGGCCTCTACCTACAGGTTTCTCCCTCCCAGGCCTTTTCTGATCTAATTGAGGACTCAGGTGGAGGGCTGAATTTTGAATAGCCTCCAGGATACCAGAAATATTAGGGTGAGGCTCCTAGTTTAGACAAGTCTCACTGAAGTACAGCAATGATTATACCACTTTCCTGTACAAGAAACTGGACTAATTCAACATAAACAAGCTAGGTTCAAGTTCCTCCTTCCCAATTTCTGGCCATGTGACCAGCTGGCAATTTACCCTGGTTTATCCAGGCCTCACTCACCTTCCTCCTTTGCCTGAACTACACTTCTGAGAACAGCAGTCTGGGACTCCTAACTTTTTAAAAAATTGTGGGATTGATTCAGCTTGGGAAATTCTGGGCAGTGGAAGAGGCATTAATCTCTTCCAAGGACCCCAACAGTGGCTGACACCCCTTCCTACAGAGGCCAGGTAGAGAAGGTATCACTCAGCCATTCAGGGGCAGGAAGGTGCAGAGGCTCTAACCAACCCTCAGACAAGGGTTTCCTTTAGGGTCCCTGCTGCCTCCTCTACTTTTTACCAATGATTCTCATCCACTATCTTTCTTTCTTTTTTAACAGGTAATGAGGGTCAACCCAGGGCCTTGCACATGCTAGGCAAGTGCTCTGTCACTGAGCTACTCCCAGGCCCCGAACCTGTTTTTCTAATCCACAAACTCTTCCTGACCCAGAGATTGTAGTCTTGCTGTGTGATCTTCAGAAAATGTAGAGACTGGGAGTGGTGGCACGCGAATGTAATCCAGGCTCTTGGGAGGCTGTAAACAGGCTACTGCCAGCCCAATCTACTAGTTAGACCCCAAACACCCTGTAAGACCCTTCCCTGAAAAGAAAAGAAAAAAAATATATTCTGTCTACTCCTCTTTAGACTCTAGTCTTCCTTCTTTGTGAAGGAGGAGCTCTGGCTTTAAGACCCCTCTGCTTCCTTCCATAATTGAGTTTGTGATCTTCCATTTGAGTGTCCGGTCCCACAGAAGAAAACCCTTTTCTCTTTCTCAGAGCAACCGTTTACTCCTTTTCTTTCCCACACCGGTCCTTCATTTGTAAAGGCCTGACACCTGCGGGCAGTTGAAAGCCCTCTGTCTATTCGTGCTGAACCTTTTTCTGCACCCTTAGCTGGTAGGGAAGGTGGATGTTGATGGACCGAGAAGCAGCAAAATACTTCAGTGTCCTGGTACCTCGGGCATGTTGCCCCCTCCCCAAGGTAAAAAAATCTCCCAGAGAGCGGCACCCCCCGCAAACCTCTCACACCCGGACACAAACGCTGCAGCAACCAAAGCCGGCAGGAGGCCGGGGCGGTCTATGCGCGTGCGTCGGCGCAGAGCCCTCTCCCGCCCACGTGCGCGCCCCCGCGGGCTGGCGGGAAAGCGCGCAGGAAGCCCCGAGCGAGCTCCCGGTGTGGGGGAGGAGGACAGGAGGCGTTTGGAACGTGCCACTCTCGGAGAGCAAGGGGGGATTTTCGTGCTCTGCTAGCGTTTCTATCCTCCCGCCCGCTGACCAATCCGTTAGATCACCCCGTCCGCTGCCGCGGTTCGAAGCCCCGCCGCAGTACAAGGCTTCGTCCCTTCCTTCCAGGCTGGCCTGGCCCGCGAACCCCGCGCGGGGCTGAGCGATTCTCTCCGCCGCCGGAGCGGGGCGCTGCGCTCGCGGGGAGGCCGGAAATTCCCGCGGCCTGACTGGTGGAGATCTTGGGGGAGCGCGGCCCCGCCTTCCTCCTCCCCGGGCCGGGCGGGGGCGTTGGGCACCGCGAGGGCCCGGCTGCCTGAGTGGGTGGAGAGGGTAAGGGGCAGCGGAGCCTGTGGCGGGCGCGGAGCGCGGGCGAGGCGGCTGCGCCTTCCCCGCTGCACCGGAGCTGGGAGACCCTTGCGCCCCGGCTCCTGGCCCCCGCCCCCTCGTGGTCTCCGCCTCCTTCCCTCACACACCCCCCCGGGCCACAGGCCTTCCCGGCGCTCCTCCTCTCTTTCCCTACACTCGCTGGAACCTGGGTCCTCCTGCTGCTGCCCGCCGGCCTTGCTGCCTCGGGGCCGAGTCCTCCTCCCCGGCTTCTCCTTTCACACTCGCGCGCCCTCGATCGCTGGGCCGCCCCCTGGTCTCCAGTCCTCCTCCTCGTCCTTGCTAACGCCGCCGTCGGGGAAGGATTGATGTCCCTTCAGCATCATGCAGCCGCCGCCGAGGAAGGTAGGACGCAGCTGGGGGGCTTTGGGGGCTGAGATACAGACGAAGATAGGGGCTGGGGCGACCTCTGCGCCCCCTCCCCCTTCCCGCAGGGGGCCGTGACCGCCCTCGCCTCTGGCTTGTCACTGAGCTTGCTGCGGGCTCCAGGCGGGGAACGCGTGTGTGCAATGTCTTTCCCATCAAGGGGTGGCCGGGGCTGGTCTCCACCGCCCTGGAGACCTCCAGGCATTTCACAAGAGTTTCGGGCGTGCATTTGCGTGTGTGCGCCTGCATAGCAGTGCTGCCCGCTGCAAAGTGCATTCTCTGGGCTGCACCGAGGGGAGGTGGGGGTGGAAGGAGACCCCTGCAGATTTGCAAAGCCCTGTGCATGTATGATTGTTTAGTCTGCACCAGGTTTGAGCCCTCAGGCCACTTGTCGCCACCCCTGCCCCTTTGCAGATTTGCGGGGAATTTGTTTTAGCCTAGCCCAAAGGGTTGGCCTGCTTTTCCCACGGGGCTGCGGAAAAGAAGTTGGAATAGTCACCGCCCTTCCACCCCAGGGGAAAGCAAATTAAAGATTGAATTTTAATTCAATCTGCCTTTCTGTCCCCACTCTTGCCCCGCCCCTGGGCAGGGGGCAAGGAGGAGGTGGCGCTGTCTCCAGGAAAGCGAGAACCCGGGTTTGCTTGATGTATGCTCCGAGATACGGGCTTGGATGGCCAGGGTGGGAGTGACCGGTATACTCCTGGCTTGTCAGGAGCTTCCCCCTGCGCCCCTCGCCCACTTTCTCAAGGGCCGAGGTTGTGTCCTTGTCGTTATAATCCTGTTGATGGATACCTAGTGCCTACTTTGGACACTGGATGAAGGCCCTTCTGTCCTTTCCTTGTGGGCAAACATTGCCGAATGCCTAACTCACCCATGTCTGCTGCTGCTTCTTTCTCTTTCATAATCTAGGTTTCCCCAGTTAAAGGAGTTCTTTTCTTTTCGTAATACACCTCCATCCCTCTGGTTAGCCCGGTTCCAGCGGCCTGGATTCCACCACCATAACCTGGAATCCTGGGGTCCAGTCTCGCAGGGTGAGGCTCTGGCCAGCTGGCATTTGCGGTTCTCACTGTTTGAAGTGGAGCCGCCACGGGGCCTGGCTTGCTGGGTTAGTTTAAAAGCCTTGCATATGTTGGAAGGTCACTTTTGCTTTCTCCTTTGTGAGGAAGAAGTTGTGATTTGATGTGCTGTCAGTGAGTGGAGGGTATCATCCTCAGACCGTGTGCTTTCTTGAAGCCATTATGGAATAATTTATGTAGTTGGTTCCTACATATTGTTTTATGATTGTATAAATTTTGGCCACTAGGTATTAGGTACTATTATGCTTTGCTCTGCTATCTGCATTCTGCTCACCTTTACTGGTGGTTAATGTCTGAATTTTTTGGAAGCAAGAAGGCTGTTTTAAAACTATAAGGCCTGGATGTGTGCTGACCTTCTGCATGAATAGAATGATTGGCAGTTTATTTTGTACCTCTTTAATCTATAATTTTTATACTGGTATATTTTCATTCACCCTGTTTATTTAATTACGTAAGTACTTTCAGGAATAAAACTATATGAAAAGTAATGGGTTTATGGTCTTCAGGGAGAGAGGAGCAACAAATATATAGTCTGACAAATATTAAGTGTTTTCCTTAGAATTTTTGATTCAAGTTGAAATAAGGCCTTCATAAATATGTGGTATATTTTTAGGTGAAAGTTACACAAGAACTGAAAAATATTCAAGTTGAACAGATGACAAAACTTCAAGCCAAACATCAAGCAGAATGTGATTTGCTTGAAGATATGAGGTAAGGTTATAGTAAATAGTTTGAAAACTTCTATATCTCTGTTTCAGAGACCCTTTTCAGTTGAAAGCCCCAGGATCTGATGATGGAATTTCCTTTTGGATTTCCTGCTTTAGGCTGTTGGAATTTTGACTCAGCTGGAAATTATAACTGGAACAAACACAATACAAACTTTTTTTTTCCTTCAGTGGAGGGATCTATACTATGCACATACTATTTATCCTCCATTTACTGTGTGCTAAGCACAATTTCTTATTATGCCATTGAATGTTCACAACAGCCCCAGGAAAGTTGTACCTTTCTTAAATTCTTTCTTTCTTTTTTTTTCTTTTTCTTTTCTTTTTTTTTTTTGGTACCAGGAATCAACTCGGGACCTTGCACTTGCCAGGCAGGCACTTGTATTATTAGCTAAAACAAGTCTTAAGTCTGTCAGTCATATTATCATCATTGAAGTAAAAATTCTTGTGTTTTTCCACTGAATTGTAAAATTATTTATTGACTTTACAGTTTTACACAGATTTTTCAATGGATACCTGTGATTAATGGCCAGTTTCTTGGGTGAACTAGTTAACCCCAGATGATTGTATGCTACTAATATACTGTGTTGTTGAAATATGATATCACTTTGAATGTTTAATTTGGTGAGAAATGTGTTCATTTTATTTTGTTGTTAAAGATATATATATATATATATATGTAATCAAAATAACTTTGGATAAAGCACTTTACTAATATTGTAAAAATGAATATCTTTCAGCTGGGTTTGGTGGTGTGTGCCTGTAATCCTAGCTCTCTGGGAAGCTGAGGCAAGAAGATTATGACTTTAGTTACTTAGCAAGACTCTGTCTCACAGTGAAAAAGAACTGATGTTGTATCTCAGCTGGAAGGCCCTGGGTTCAATACCCTGTACTAAAAAAAAAAAAAAAAAAGAATATTTTTCTTTATAGAAGAAAGCATGATTTATTGCATTGAAGGAAATGCCACTTATTTTATTTACCAATCTATAGTACAAACTGATAGTTCAACAGGTATTTTTATACAGGGTGGGAGATACTTTGCCTGCTGAAATGGAACACCTGCATTTCTTATTCTCATTTACTAACAGTTATCAGATTAGAATTGGGCCTGTAAGCCCCATCATTTTCCTGTTTTTCTTATGGCAAAGTAACTTTGCATTTATATTGGTCTCATTGAAAGTATTAATTTTATGTTGTTATAATAAAATTACATATTTGAATAGCTGAGTTGTTTATAGTTTGAAGATTTTAGGTTAAGAAATTGCTTTTTTCCCTCCCCCGTATTTAATTTAGCTACTGTTTATGATCATGTTTACTGTGTATCTTTTCTCCCCCTCCTCATGCTTTCCCTCTCTCTCTGTCTCTCTCTGTCTCTGTATGTGTTACTGGGGATTAAGTCCAGGGATTTTGCACTGAGCTATATGAGCAGTTGTACCCCCCTCCTTTAATTTGAGACAGGGTCTCACTAAGTTGCTAAGTTGTCTAGGCTAGGCTCAAACATGGAACCCTCCTACCTCAGACTTGGAGTGCTGGCACTATAGGTATATACTACTGTGCCAGCTGCTGTGTACCTTTTTGTAGGGTTTCTGTTGAAAGCATATAAATCTATCTAATCCTCTTGGATATACCAAGATAGACGTTTTCTGACTGAAAAGTACTCTATTTAATAGATTTTTTTTCTTCCTTTTTTTATTTTTAATTTTCTCACGTGTACAAGGATCTTTTTCCCCTTCTAGTACTGGGAATTAAACCCACTATCTTCACACTTAGTTACGTTCTTAGCCCTTTGAATTATTATTATTTTTTAATTTTAAGGCAGAGTCTTGCAGTGTAGTTCAGACTGACCCTGACCTTCCTGTGTTACCTAAGCTGACTTGAAACTCATGATCTTTCCTCTTGAGTGCTGGGATTACAGGTGTGAGCAGGATTTTTTTTTTTAGAATAGTGCTGGCTATTGAACCCATGGCATCATGCATGTTAAGCACATGCTATACTGCTGAGCTACATCCCCAGCCGTTATAAAGAAGTTTTAAGATTTGAAAACTCCTGTGCAGGATATTTGAAACTCTTCATGTGGTTAAACATGACTTTAAACATCTGTTAAGTGTACCAATATACTTTAGCAGAAATCTAGATGAAGGAAGGAATCAATTTTCAGAAGCATTTCAAGAAGCCAAAAGTAGTGAAGATCCTGTGTGGGATATAAGTCATAGGTGATTAAATTTTGATTGTTTCTTCTAAAGACTTCTTGATTACATTCTTTGCTCTTTCTCTTGATGCCTGCGTGTTGGTACGTGAGGTGAAGGTTGAGAATATGGACATTGGAGTCAGTCAGTCTTAGGTTTCTGTCTAGGCCCCATCACTGTTATGTTTGCTGACTTTTGAAAAATGACTAAATCTTTCTAAACTTCATTTTTCTCTTTTGTAAAATGAGATATAGTGACCTTCATTCCTTTTTTTTTTTTAAAAATGTGCTTAGTACAGGGTCTACTGGGTCTCACTATGTAGATTGGACTCATAGTGAGTTCAGCCTGTTTTCAGCCTCCCACGCGCTGGGATTATGGGTGCGCAGTGCTGAGATTATGAGTGCGTGGCACCATGTCCAGTCTTAATCACTGTGTCAGTGTACCCTGGGGGCAGGGCCAGCATAGCACACTGGGTTTCAAACCCTGGCCACTGTGCTCTGCCTAAGTAGGTGCTTTAGTCCACTGAGCTAACTGACTGGCCCAACCCTCATTCTTAAGGATTGTGCAGATCAAGTGATTATACTGTTTTGTTTGGAGACAAGGTCTTGCCATGTACTTCAGGCTTGGTCTTAAACTTGATACGACCCTGTGCTTCAGTCTCCTGAGTGCTGGGTAACAGGAATACACTACCACGCCTGGCCTGGTAGTACATTTAGAGGTGGCGTATATTAAGCTAAATTGATGTAGATTGTTGCTCCTATGGCTACTGTTCAGTTGTATTATTGCTGATCCATTGCATTCTGTTTACAGTATTATAGTATATCCTAATTATCACAGCAGTGACTTGTATTCCCCAGTCTCTTCCACATTGCTACCAGTTAGCTACTAGTTAGTTTTCATTTTCTGCCAGTTCCCTGTGGCTTTCCGGATAAAGGTCATACACCTTGTCATAGCCTACGTGGCCCTCAGTAAACTTTCTTTACTGTGTTAATTACTAGTAATTCAAGCACATGTATTCATCATCCTTACTTCTTGTGCTATGGCCACTCAGGGCGTCTGATTATTTGTGCACCCTCCATTCATGCTTTTGTTTTTACTCTTTTGCTACCCTTCTTTCTACTTTTTCACTTGGCAATTTTAGGTTACCACTACGTTTGGAAGTTGTTTGTGATCTCAAACAAATTTCATTTTGCATATGCTTCTGGCTTTGAATTTAGAAGCTAAGTCTTACCAAGTTTTGTATCTTTGAACCTTTAGTACAGGATGAGAAAATTACCAAATGAATATTACTGGTTATATTTAAGTGTTCTTGTTCTTAGATGAGGTATTTTATAAGCTCTATTTGTATGGGCCTGTAGAGTAGTTGTTGAGCTTGCATTACACTTTGATTCATGTAGACACTATAAATATAGTGTGCTATCTGAGGAGTATATCTTTATTTATATGTAAAATGTAAATGTAGACATTGGGGTTGTTTAAGAATTAACATTATTATTTTAAAGAAATCAATATGTTCTTCTATTCATTGCCATATAATTGTGAATAGAATACTGTTTATCTGCTAAAATATGAGGTCAGGTCTGTCTCTTTGTTTGTGTGTGTTCCACTGATTTAAGAGCTTTAGTTCTGTTTGCTATAGCTCAGGTATGCCTTCAAATTTAACACATGTTATGAAATAAGGTAGCCATGGAGCATATTACCAAATATTGCTACATAATTCAACTTTGTAGAAATAAGGGTCCATCATACAGAGCAAATGAAAGATTATTCTTTGGTTTCATGTAGTAGGAACGCTGCACATTCCCTCTGTGGAAATACTAGACTACACCTTACAAACTATTATAGCTGTCTATTGAGTATCTTTCAAAATGTGTTTTATAGAAAATTTTCTATTCCTAGGAACTGAGGATTATTTTTTTGGGAACAGCATCTGGCTTTGAATTCACTATGTAGTCCAGGATGGCCTGCCTCAGATTCCCAGGTGCTAAGATTACAGGTGCCTGCTTCCATGCCTGGTGGAGTGATTTTTTTTTTTTTTTTTTTTGAGACAAGGTCTTGCTTTGTAGCCCAGGCTAGCCCCAAACTGCAGTTCTTTTGCCTCAGCTTCTTGGGATGACAGGTGTGCACCACCATGCTTGGCTAGAATGCTTGCTTTTATGCTGTTCACAAATTTAAGCCTGTAAAATATACTTTAAAAAATAAGGTAATTGTCTTAAAAAAATTCTTACTAGCCTAGCCTTTCTTATACATGCTATATTGGTTATATATACACATAAATTTAATTATATTACTAGAATAAATATTTGAAATTGGCATTCAAGTGAGCAGGAACATCCCAAGTATGTTTGTTTTCACTTTACATTTCAGTGCTAGTGATTGAACCCAGGATCTTGTGCATGTAGTATGCTCTACCGTTGAGCTACATACACAGACCCTTCCCAATTTTGTTTTTTATTTTTTTGGGGGAACCGGAGATTGAACTCAGGCCCTTGCGCTTGCCAGGCAAGCGCTTATTCTACTGCTATCTCCCCAGCCCGCCCTTCCCAATTTTAAACATGTTGCATTTGAGACTAGGCTGGTAAATTGACTTCTCAATTGATTCAGCATAAACAAGCAACTGTTTGTGGATACAGAAATGAGAAAGGCCAAGATCTGCCTTACGCAGATGACACTAGTGCTTTATACTAGACCCAACATTTTTGCCTTAATTCAAATAGTCCATAGCTAGCCATAATACTCCATAGTAGTCCTGAAAATCTGTGAAGGTTCTGTTCAATGAATGTATCCTTCAGGATTCCAT